GGGAAGGGAAGGGAAGGGAAGGGAAGGGAAGGGAAGGGAAGGGAAGGAAAGGAAAGGAAAGGGAGGGAAAGGAAGGGAAGGGAGGGGAAGGAAAGGAAAGGAAAGGAAGATAGAAGGAAGGGAAGGGAATTGAAGGGAAGGGAAGGAAAGGAGGAATGATCTTGTATTCTGCCAAACGTGGAGAGCATTGAAATGAGGAAAGGCTCCTGTAACCAAACACCCCACTACCACACAAATCCCAAACTTACAAATCCCCCAAACTTCCCTTCCCTTCCGTATGCGCAGCCTAACTCCCCACCCCACATGTTTCACACACAAGGCCACACACACCTGTTCACTCATTTCCGGTCCATAACGCAGCTCCATAACAAAATTTTCACAGTTTTGGCTGCTCAGGCTGTACGGCATCTCCTTTCCGACCAATTCTTCCGTCTGCCACAGGATCTTGGAGAGGGGTAGCGGTGGGTGGGTCTTGTCATGCTTATTATTCACTCGGTACCTGTCCTTCCGGACTACATCTTCCAGCCAGTCCTTCTTTACGCAAACTCTCTCGGATAAAAGGGCCAAGGGGTTGGGAGAGCCATCGGCAAAATGTTCGCCTGGAAAACAAGAACAATGTCAAACCTGAAGGTGATCTGACCAATGGTGGGATTCAGAAATGTTTACTACTGGTTCTGTGGGTGTGGCTTGGTGGGCATGGCTGGGGAAGGTTACTGCAAAATCCCCATTCCCTCCCGATCAGCTGGGTCTCGGGAGGCAGAGAATAGATGGGGGCGGGGCCAGCCAGAGGTGGTATTTGTGGGTTCTTCGAACTACTCAAAATTTCCTCTACCAGTTCTTCAGAACTGGTCAGAACCTGCTGAATACCACTTCTGGGACCTGACCAAACCCATCTTGGAGCTTTCTGTGCTGCCACACTAGGGGTGAGAGGGGAATGGAGATAGTTGAGACGTTGCAGCCAAAGCAAAACACTTTCTCTTCAGAACCAAGGTCATTCTCACACCTGGCCCTTGGAAAGAGGAGTGATTTTACCTGAGGGAGTCATGATTGGACCACGTAACTGACTGTTTTGAGAAAGTGCAAAAACAATTAGTTTTAATTAGGTGAAAACGGCGAGAACCCTCAGAGTCAATTTCCACCAGATCTGGGCAAATATGATATTTCCAACAAAGCTAACTTTTTGAGGAATCCAATTGCCTCGGAATGTTGCTTGCTATGGATCTATTTCTGATCAACAAGCTCAGCGTCTTAGCCGCTGAGCCACCGTGTCCCTCTTTCATTAAATTAAACATATCCAATTCCTGCCACTCTTTTGCTAAGAGAAGGATGGCTTCCCTGAGCAGGGGAATGGATTCCCGAGGGGAAGCCATACAGAATACCAAACAACAGAGTTGGGAGGTATCTTGGAGGTCTTCTAGTCCAACTCCTGCTCGAATAGGAGACCTGTTGTGGCCCAGCAGGAGCTGTTGGAGCTGCCACCAGACTCCGACAGCGAGGGGCCCTATGAGTCGCTTTGGAGGATGTGGAGGACCCTGGACAGGGTTCCGACTCCGAGCAGGGCGCAGAGAGGCTGGTTGGCCACCAGGAGGTGCCTGAGCCTTGGACNCCACCTAATGAGAAGGAAGAAGGACTCCCTGGAGAAGAGCCTCATGCTGGGAACGATGGAGGGCAGAAGAAGAAGGGGACGGCAGAGAAGGAGGTCCCTGGATGGAGTCCCCGAAGCAGTTGGCCTGAGCTTGAATGGACTCCAGAGGATGGTAGAGGACAGGAAGCCCTGGAGGAACGTTCTCCATGGGGTCGCGATGGGTCGGATATGACTTCCCAACTCACAATAACAAAACAACAAAGGAAAAAATCTGCAAAGGACAGACAACCTCACTGGCTGACGACAGTTTTTGCCACGTTGCTGGTTATATTTTTCCAGACTTAAGCGTGCCTTTTCCATAGACTGGAGTCACAAGGGTTAAATCTTTCCTCCCCGTTACTGCATGCTAGCCTGACCAGCGCGATAGATTCGTTAATTGGTACATGCATCATAAAAATTGATCCATCGATTAGCTTGTGATATTTCAGCGCTCTTTGTAAATAAAAGCAGCAATGTTGGTTTAATTTTAGATCTCTTTTGCAGGCTGGCAGGAAAGTCTCCCTTTCTACCAAAACTGCAGGTATAGCTTGCTTAAAAGGTGCTTGCTCCGTTTTGGGGGCGCCCTCTGAAATTTATCCAAGGATAAAGTCCCATTAAGCTTAGAGGTAATTGCTTGCGAATAAACGTCTATGAGATTGCACCGCTTAGAGTAAAACCCGTTGACTTAAATAGCGGGTCGTCATAAGTATGCAAGGGATTGCTCTCTTCAGGCTGTCTTACGATGTTTCCCTGCAGGCAGTCCTCGACTTACAACCATTGGTTTAGTGACTGAAGCTGCAACAGCATTGAAAAAAAAAGTCTCCTCATATTTATGACCCTGGCAGCCTCCCTGTGGCTGTGCGGTTAAACTCTGGCCGCTTAGCAACTGGCATGCATTTAGGATGGTTTGCTGTGTCTGAGGGTTATGTGATCATCATTTGTGGCCCTCCTAGCTAGCTTTCAACATAGGGAGGGAGGGAAGGAAGGAAGGGAAGGAAGGAAGGAAGGAAGGGAAGGAAGGAAGGAAGAAAGGAAGGAAGGAAGGAAGGAAAGGAAAGGAAAGGAAGATAGAAGGAAGAGAAGGGAAGGAAAGGAAAAGAAAGGAAAGGTAGAAGGAAGGGAAGGAAAATAGAAGGAAGGAAAGGGAGGGAAGCGAAGGGAGGGGAAGGGAAGGAAAGGAAGATAGAAGGAAGGGAGGGGAAGGAAGATAGAAGGAAGGGAAAAGGAAGGGAAGGGAAGGAAAATAGAAGGAAGAGAAGGAAGATAGAAGGAAGGGAAGGGAAGGGAAGGGAAGGNCCGTTCCCGGAAGTTACTTTCTTCCGGGTTCAGCGACCAACCGGTTCGCAGGGACCTCCGCGAACCGGTTGAAACCCACCCCTGGCCCTAACTTGTATCAATCTGGTATGAAATAAAATGTGTGAATCTGTGCACTATGTAAGGCATGAACTCTTCTCCGAGGACAAAAACTGAAAACAAACTGAAAAACATTTTGCTATGTTGGACTTGTGAAGCACCATATGTGGCCACCAGATGCTGGATATTGGCCCTCAAAAGCTCTTGGAGCAAGCAGAAACTTTCACCGTTCAGAACATGCTCACATCATGGAGCTACAGTTATCATCGATCTCCCTCCAACGGTGGCATCAAAAATGGATACGTTCCAATTGTGCCATTTGGTTTGATTTTAGGGTCCTACCCTCAATCCAACCCTCCAGGAGGAAAGGGCCTCTCGCCACAGTGGAGAAGCCGATCGTGGAGAAAGTAGAACTTGCCAAAAAAAAAAAAAAATGGCTGGCTTGACTTGTTTGATTAGGGATAGAAAAAATTGCAATTATTTTTTATTTAAGATTGGAAATCCTCTTTGGATTATTATTATTATTATTTTTGCTGAAGATGGATAAGAATAAGATGGTGATTTCCAGACTGAAAGGGGAATGCATATAGGGAAAAGGGACCTATATTATGTAATTTTGAGAGAAGAAAATAATCTTAATAGTCTATAAATGCAATAAAGTTACTTCTTTAAAGATTTTTTTCCTTTTTCTTTGTTATGGTTTTTTTCCTTTCCTTTCCGCCCCTCCCCTCCTCCCTCCCTCCCTCCCTTCCTTCTTTCCTTCTTTCCTTTCTGTCATTGATTTCATTGGGTCTGTTACTTGGACCCTTGACACTTTCTTCCTTCCTTCCTTCCTTCCTTCCTTCCTTCCTTTCTTTCTTTCTCTTTCTCTCTCTTTCTTTCTTTCTTTTTTATTTCTTTCTCCCTTCCTTCCTTCCTTCCTTCCTTCCTTCCTTCCTTCCTTCCTTCCTTTCTGTCATTGATTTCATTGGGTCTGTTACTTGGACCCTTGACACTTTCTTTCTTTCTTTCTTTCTTTCTTTCTTTCTTTCTTTTTCTTTCTTCCTTTTTTATTTCTTCCTTCCTTCCTTCCTTCCTTCCTTCCTTTCTGTCATTGATTTCATTGGGTCTGTTACTTGGACCCTTGACACTTTCTTTTTTCTTTCTTTCTTTCTTTCTTTCTTTCTCTTTCTTTCTTCCTTTTTTATTTCTTCCTTCCTTCCTTCCTTCCTTCCTTCCTTTCTGTCATTGATTTCATTGGGTCTGTTACTTGGACCCTTGACACTTTCTTTTTTCTTTCTTTCTTTCTTTCTTTCTTTCTTTCTCTTTCTTTCTTCCTTTTTTATTTCTTCCTTCCTTCCTTCCTTCCTTCCTTCCTTT